CCCCCTGCCATCCCCTGGGACAGGGGGACAGCCTTGGGACACCCCGGAGGACAGGGGGACACCCCGGAGGACAAGCCCCACGCCACCCCCCAGGGACACAGGGACACCATGAGGACACCCCAGAGACACGCCCAGGGACGTGGGGACACCCCAGAGACATCTCCAGGCATGTGGGGACACCCTGGGGACACCCCATGGACACCCCAAGGACATGAGGACACCCCAGGGATACCCCCAGGGACACTATGGAGACCTTCGGGGGACACTTTGGGGACACTTTGCTGCCACCTCCGGGGACACCGTGGGGACACTCTGGTTCCTTGGGGACACTTTGGAGGCTCTTGGGGCACCTCAAGGACACTCTGGGGACACTGGGGATACCTTGGGGACATTGGGGTCCCCGGGTGTGTTTGTACCCCCAGCCCCAGGTGCCCAATCCCCCCAAGTCCCTCCCAGTCCCCGCCAACCTCCTCCCAATCCCTTCCCAGTCCCTCCCAGTGCTCCCAGTTCCCACCTGCCCGCTGGCACTGGAAGTCCCGGGGGTCCAGGTGGGCAAGGGGGGTCCCTTGGTGGGGGGAGGGGCTGCGGCAGCGCCCGGCAGCCTCGGGGGAGGAGGGGACTGTCCCCAACCACGACAGGAGCCACCTCAGGCGACAATCGCAGCGGAACGGGTTCCCCCGCAGGTCCCTGCACCAACAAGGGCCACCAAAGTGTCCCCAAATGTCACTAAATGTCCCCACGTGTCACCAAATCCCCCCAAATCCCTCCAAGTCCCCCAATGTCCCCCTGATGTCCCCAATGTACCCCGAAACCCCCAATGTCCCCAATCCCCCCCCAAACCGCCCCATGTCCTTCATGTCCCCCACACCTCCATTGTCCCCTTGTTCCCAATGCCCCAAACACACCCCGTCCCCCCGTCCCCACACTCCCAATGTCCCATTGTGCCCCAATGTCCCATTGTGCCCCAATGTCCCCATGTCCCCAAAGTCCCTTTACCTCCCCTAATGTCCCGAATGTCCCCAATGTCCCCATCCCCCAATGTCCCCAATGCCCTGTCCTCCATTGCCCCCCATCCCCACAAGGTCCCCCATCCCCACAATGTCCTCAATCCCCCCAATGTCCCCAACACCCCCAGTTTCCCTCCCTGTCCCCAATGTCCCCAATGTCCCCACGGTGTCACTCACAGGTGGCTCAGGGTCTCCAGCCCCTGGAAGAGCCCCTGAGGCAGCGTCTCCAGGCCATTGTTGGCCAAACTCCTGTGGGGACATTGAGGGGGACAGAGGGGGAACATTGTGGGGTTTGGAGGGCTTGGGGACATTGGGAACAGCTGGGGACAGGGAAATGGGGGCATTTGGGGACACCCCGTGACACATGGGGACATGGGGACAGGGACACAGGGACAGGAACATGGGGACACCTGGGGACACTTGGGGACACCTGGGGATATTTGGGGACATGGGGACACCTGGGGACAGGGACACGGGGACATTTGGGGACATCTGGGGACATGAGGACACCTGGGGATATTTGGGGACACCCTAATGTCCCCAATGCCCCCCAGGGTGCCCCATGTCCTCCCAGTGTCACTCACAGGAACAGGAGCCCCCGGAGGCCCCTCAGGGCAGTGGGTTCAATGGTCCCGACCTCGTTGTCCTCGATGAACCTGCGGCACCAGTTCACACCACTTTGCACCAGTTCGTACCAGTTCTCACCAGTTCACACCAGTTCAACTCAGTATCCCCCCCCCAGTACAGCCCAGTCTCTCCCCATTGTTCCCCCAGTTCCTCCCAGTACAGCCCAGTTTATCCCAGTCCCTCCTCAGTGTCTCCCCAGTCCAGCCCAGTCCCTCCTCAATGTCTCCCCAGTTCCTCCCAGTACAGCCCAGTTCAGCCCAGTACAGACCAGTCCCTCCTCAG